TGGCTGAGGAAAATGTATGTGATCCCTTGTAAGAAACTGCCATGGTCTTGGATTAAAACCTAGGCGTTAAACCACTTCTATCATCTGACACACTCCAAAGTCTAGTATTTTTATGAGGAAGATGTATCTTTTTATAAACTTATCTTTACTCAATCAAGGGATTGCTGTCAGACTGAACACTTCCTGAGCTACAGTCCTTTATTTTTAAAAATATATAAAACACCAGCTACTCTCCAAGCCTTTTAGTGGAAGGTTTTTACCACTGCATCCTAAAAAACGTGTTAACTTTCTGCTCTTTTGAGTTGCTCCTTTATTTTTCATGAGAAAGACTACTACAGGAAAAGATACAGTGGAGGAAAAAAATCCAAAACTTTAAAATTAAAAATAAGGACTTGATTTCTGCTTAAATAAGTGCTCTACAAAGTAAGTATTTTGTAATATAGAGTTGGCAACACGGCAACCTCAGAGATGCGCCCTGTCTTCTAGCCAGTATTTGTGCACACTCTTTATCGCCATAGTCCTTCACATTTGGATGCCTACATGTAAACACTGCCTAGCTTTGGAAGAACTAAATCAAAGACTACCCTTCACAGCTTCTGTGTTTCCTCTATTTACCACCTCTGACAAACTGCAAACAAACACTGAATAACATTTAAAAAACAAATCTGCTATAGTTTGGGGGAATGAAGAGTAAGATTCTACTTTTAATTAAAATTAAAATAATTTATTTAATTGGAGTAACTCTGAATGTGGAGATCAGACTACTCCTCCAAAGCTTCTGTCAGACTATGCTATGATAAGTATGGAGAGAGTTCACTGCTGCTGTGTTTGTTCAGCAAAGAACATCCTGGCAAGTGAAAAATGCAAGCACACAATGAAAGATTCGTGAAAACAAGAGTGGAAGCAGCCAACTCAGTTTCATACTGCAAATTTTTGGCAGACATTCAACTCCTTCTGCTGTTTTTCTCGCAAGCACATCTTTCTCTGTGATGTCATCAGATTCAGCAAGGGAGGGAGCCAGAACAAATTGGACTGACAGTGTCTTACAGCCTGCCAGCCTCTCAGCACATGTTGTTACTATATGAAGAATGTCTAGAAACAAAACGTGCTCTGCAGATACACAGAGTGTACCCCCTTCCTAAAGGCAACTAGAGAGAACTGCCTATGGAAAAAGTTTGGGAGAAATGGTGGTGAAATTTAAAGCATCAGGTTTTGCCAATCCATTTGCTTTGTAGTCTTAATTTAGGAAAAAATGAGGTAGGAAACTCCTCAAAACTCACAGCCAACTCTGCAGCCCACACTCTCATGGTGATGACTGTCAGTAATCTGAATGCACTTTACTTCCTGCAGTCATTTTAATACCATCAGAGGCTCACTGGATACCAGGGCTGTCTTTGCTCCATGACCACACATCTGCTTGTAGTAGCATTGTGGCTGGAGTTGAGTAGGTGTAAAAGAAACATGCACATTCACACGGAGGTTTTTTTTTTCTTTTCTCTTTAAGACATCCTGAATGTGAGCCTTCCAGAGAGAATCTACCACAACCAGTATTTACAGAACCATCCCCACTACAGCACATTTATTTCTCAGTTAGGAAGACATAATCCAGGAGCAATGATAGATGACTTCTGAGAATTCATGCTAGGTAATGGTCTTTTGAATGTCTGTTTCTAAACAGGTAACAAACCATTACACCTCACATCAAATAGCCTATGCTGTTGCAAAGGTCTTCCTCAAATGCTGAAGCTACTGGAAAGAGTAGATGAACCAGAAAAGCCAGAGGGTAAGTACAACCTACACCATGAGAAGATAATTTACAACATGAGAAAACATGTCTCAGTGAGCAGGGCATCACAAAGCCTTTTCAGCCAGTGGCTCTGGAAGAAAACCATTCAAGTTCCATTTCCAAAAGAAACGGCCTTACTATTAGACATGCACATGGTAAGAACTTAACAGAATGTCAACTGGAAATACTTAAGACAGTCAATCATTAAATAACCTTCCCAGAGCTAACAAGTCCTCTAATCAGAGGATTAAGACAATTCAAGATTTGTACGTCACAATCAGAATCACATGCCAAGACTTCCTGCCTGCAAACTGGGGGAGGGTTGGAAGGAAAGAAAGGCTCCAATTTCTTTACTTGCAGTATAAAGAAACTCCCCTCAGTTGATGCAGATTCAGGAACCTGGCAGTTCAAGCTACTTAAGTTTTCTTTACCCAAAGCTGTATCCTGTAAAGCTCGCTCCTATACTTTGTCCCAGGCTCCTAATTTTCAAGAAAATAAAGGATGATGTCTACAGAGCAACAGACGATTATATCACTCAATTTAAGATAATATTTATAGTATTTCTAAGAAGTCACAGACTTTCACAGCTGCAAAAGAAAAACACACACCTCAAATCAACAGCAAACTAAAGTCTTAACTCCTCTCACTGGAAACAGCATGCATTGCAAGATACTTTGGTTTTAACAAAACTCTCTTCTTTCTTTTCAATATCACTACAAGTCCAGAATTACCACTACAGCAGTAACAATGGGAAGACTGCCAGATTCTTGGACAATGAAACAAGCAATGAGCTAGTTTCTTATCCAATGCCTGAAGCAGTATTAGTAACTGTTCCATGGAAAGGTGTTCAATCAGGGAAAAAAAAATTGCAAGGACAGAAAAATTATGTCAGATTCACACAACAAATACAGAGAAAACCTAAATAGGTGGAAGAAAGACCAACATGACTTCTCACAACTCATCAGGATAAAGTTAGTTTGAAACCCTTTAACAAGACAAGTAGTAATAAAACATATCTACCCACCTACTGCACACAGGAGAGAGGTCAAAGGACTGAGCAGTCTGCCACATATAGGATTTGTTTACCAGATTTTGTTAATTGAGTATTTGTGCTTATTTTAAGAACATGGAACCCATTTTTCAACTAAAATGACATTACTTCATTTAATATTTATACCTTTTTAACTGTTTTTCCTGCCACCGGTATGACTTCAGATAAAATTGCTGGGAAACTAGAGGAAAGGCAGGGACAGAATTATCTGCTCTCATTCTCTTTTCTCTTTCTTCTCTTGTTATATAGCAAAGCTATGCTGGAATTAAGCTGTTGTTTATTTAGCAATGTTCTCCATCATCCACCCACCTCCCTGTCTGACTATACTTCAAACCTCTGCAGTAAACAAGGTTGTTTTATTAACAAAACTTCAGAGATGTGTCATTCCATATCTGTCAACAATCTCTGGGACAGAAAGGACCAAAACAGGGATCCAGCTAACATACTGAACTAGTCTCCTCCTTTTTAAGCAGCTGTCCTATACTCAGCATCTGCTGATCCTGTGTCAGAGACTGCCATTACTAACACCTCCTCCATAGCAGTACCCCACTGACAACGGCACTCATCACAATATCTGATGTCTTCTCACAGTCATAGACTTTGCCTTTAAGTTGCCATTTACTCCAAACACTGCCAGAACCCCTCCTGGAATCATTCTGAACCATCTCACTTCAAATGCAGTGTCTCACAGCATCCATTTGTAGCTGACCAGGACAGTAACACTTCTGACATGCTTACACATGCTGTTACTAAGAACTACTTCACTTGTTCACCAATTGAGTGAATCAAGTTCAAAGTGATTTTTTAGCACTTCAATTTCCACACTTACACAGACTGAAAATGGAGGCCATCTGTTATCAACCATGACTTTTTTTCTTTTTTTTTTTTTTTTAGACAGAGCTACAGCCTTCTCCACAGAACCAGCTGGAAGAGAGTGAATCCTAATCCTCCTCCAGCTGGGAGCCAAAGCTTGAAGAGTGCCTGTGGAGAGCAAGGGTGAGCTCTGAAAATGTAATTACAATGCTCTAGTTGCAGATAATTTCTGTACTCCACCCAAAATAAACCAATCCACAAATAACTTCCCTACCAATAACAGGACAGTCCTTTGCTTTAAGACATGGAATTAACAGTTATTAACCTAAAATAGACACAATATAGCAATAGCTACTGTATACTTATAGGCCTTCAAAACAACTATGATGGCCTCTAAGCATATGAACTTTCTAAAAAGATACAAGAAGTTTGGCTTCATGTGATCAACAGGAGCACACACTGGGATCTAGAACTACTATTTGCAAGAAGAAAGGCCTAAAGGATGCTGCTGAATGTATAAATATCCACAATTAAAACAATTGATAAGTACCAACAGATACAAATAGCAACCTAAAATTAGGAAAGAGACATGCCTTAAGTAACATGTGAGACAGCAACAGGAAATCTGCTTTAAATATTCCTCCTCTATTTTTCAGCCAAAGTAGTTTCCCCTCACTTTTCAGGAAGCACTTTCAGGATTTTTTATACTCAGGTGTACTGCAGGGCAATATTAAGGTATTTACTTAAAGGTTGCTACAGCAGTATTCAGTTTTAACTGACATAAAGACAGTTTAAAGGAGACTGCAAGAGGAGATCAATTAATACCATCTGTATTTTCTTTTTAATTGTGGAAGAAACACTCCTACTATTGTCCTGAGATCAAATTTCAAATCCTCTGGAAACACACAACATAATTTTTTTCAATTTCTCCTTCAGTTAGCTGATGTGTTAACTTTTTTTTAAATAAAGATTTTACAAAAAATCTTGTGTCAACAAAAGCAGTAAAAGCTGTCTCTATCTAAAGATTCCAGTCTTAAGACCTGCATCTTACTATAGCTTAGCTCCTTACAGTACTGTATCAGAGAAGAGCTCTTTGCTCTGAAACAGTGCTAAATATTACTGTAGTAGTGCAGTCATTCTTGCACTGTAGTAATACTGTATTAACTATTAAATAGTACTTGTTAATTGTAGTCATACTGCAAAAAAACAATGCATAGACCATAAAAATGGTACATTTAATTTTTATTTGTTAAATATATTATTACTATTTTTAGTAACACATGGTGTGGTAACCTCTGGCAGAGATTAACTTCCTAAATAATCTCTACAACACCTGCCCCAATCAAAACCAAATCAAACACATCAAAAAGCAAACCAAAACTAAAAACCCAACCAAGTCTTGAAATATCCCAGAAAATTTAAAAATACTAAGCTTTTCTGTATTCTCATGCTTTTATACTCCCAAAGACATCTCAATAGCCAGTATATGTTAAAATGCCATCATTGCCTATTCTGTTTGACTTTAATGAAGATGACAAAAAAAAATAAATCTGCCTTCAGCTATCTAAAGGGCTAGTGGTTGCCTGATACCTATCCAAGAGGCAGTAACTCACTGCCTTCTCCTTTCATTACAATTTCAAGATTAATTCACTTTACTTTTTGGTATTGCAACAATTTGCTGCCACCCACCCCCTCGCCTTTCTTTCTTTCCACAACAGGGACAGGTATTGTGACATAACACGAGAGTTAAGTCCAGACTTCAGGCCATCTCATCACAAGGCAAGCAAAAATAGCTCTTAACTGCAATTCTCATTTTAGCTTCTAAACTACAGGAAACTGAGAAGAAGGAGAAGGCCACTTCCCTAAAGCCTACACAAGTGAAGACACATGGTGCTTAAAAGTGAAATTAAAGACAACTCTTCTTTTGTAAGCCATTGTCCCTAACAGACAAGCAAATTTCAGCACTGAGCTCTGCCCATCAGCAGGTTTTTTTTCTGTTTGCTTGTTTTCATCCAAGTAGTGTTTTTAGGCCAGGGTTTTCAATACCATATTGTCAGCAGCATGTCATTACTAGCTGGTAAACCATGATAACTTGCCAGGTTTTTTTGACCTTGAATGTTAGAATGTGGTATTCACAGAACACCAAGATTAAAAAAAGAAAAAAAGAGCTAAAAGAAAAAAAACCTAATAGTATTTACTAAACAAAACTTCTGTAGTACTGCTTTATGTTTATTTTGTTTAAAAAATGTAAGCCTCAATACTTTCATAGACTTCCTGCAAGATACTGAGTGTCATAGCACACAGAAAAACATCCTGAATTAAATGTTCACTACTAGTCATGTAAACAAAGTGCCACTACTATCAAACAGACAGGTAAGCACTTGCAGCTGAGTGGAAGCTACATTTCAACCATTGAAAGGAAGAAATATTGCACCTTTAAGATTCATAACTTTGGATCATATGACATATGGAGAGTTCTTAAAGGGATGTTAAAGACTAAACAGTGCAAGGATAAAAGATTAACAACAGGGAACAAGTCATTAAGATTACAAGTTTTGGAGGTTGAGCTTTTGTTCATGTAATTTCCAAGGCTCTTCTACGAATCAAGAGAAACATTGTCACAACACTCCCAAAGAATCTGTTCTGAATAATTATAATCAAGAAAAAAACAAAGGGGGGGAAGAAGGTGGGGACAGACAGACCACTCCACAATAGTCCCTCACCACTCTACAGCACCCAATAAGTCAAGAAAATTACTACAGCATAGCAAGCCTTTTGCACCTGTATAACTGGTTGAGATATAACATAAAACAGTAAAGTGAAGGAAGACTATCACCAGGTGTATGCATTTAAAAAAATAAAACAAAACAAAAAACAGTCTTAAGTCCTGCATAATAGGAAGGGATCTTTTGGCTTTCACTGACTTGCCAGTCAATTAATGCTGGCAGAATCTACATAGATGTTTTAATATCGTATCTTCTAAATTATTTAAGAAACTAACATGAAACTCATACTGAGTTACACAGCAGAGATGGTACAAGATGAACAGAAATCTAGGATGCTGTTGTAAAACACACAAAAAATTAATCAGAAGAGCTTACTGAAAAAAAACCCTTGCAAAACTTCTACCATTGCTACATTTTAATATCACTAAAGTCAACCCTTTTAGTATTCAAGCTGCTCATACCTGAGCAAGAGGAAAGGAATCAGCTTATCTAACAGCCTAAAATGCTACATGTTTAACTTATCATTGACTCTAAATGGTGATTCTGTACTGACACATTCCATCAATCAGAAGAAAATGTCCATGCAAACTAGGTCTTACCTTATCCTTTTCATGGGGAAGGAGACACACTGGAGGGAGACAGGAAAGAGACTCAAAGCTCTCCTTCCCATCAGCATTAGTGGTTGCTTTAGTGTTGAGTTGGTACAGAGGTCCATCTTTAAGGAGCCTACCATGGCCAACAGCACGTTTGACAGCTAATCGTAATTGCTGGTGAAAAATGGAGGCAGCACTGCCTCCAAATAATGCAGACACATCTTTCTGACCTTTCAGAAAGCGCTCGATGTTCTTTAAGGATGACCCACTAGACTCAGCCAAGCCCTCAATTGCCCGTTTGATAAGTTTATTCCAGTCCACATTTGGTTTACCATCCAACTTGCCATGGTTCCGAGGCTTCGGAAGTGCTATTCTCCCAGGATTATCAGGATCCTTGTAGGAGTTGAGACCCTTGTTGGAGACTTTTAAAATAGTTCCATCTTTAACGCTCAACTCTAACTGTTCCAGAACAGTTTTGCGGTCCAAACCGTGTGAAGACGACACTGCATTGCATATCCTCTCCTCTGAAGGACGCTGTTTCTGCTTCTTTACCTTTTTGATTGCCTCCAAAATCCACTCTGTATACAGCGGGTTGGCGAGTTTTACCATGGTGAAGAATTCTGTATATCCATAGAGTCGTTATCCTTTATCCCAATGCTGAACAAGTTTCACACAATGAGAAAACAGATTCTCGAATGATGGGAACCAGCTAACCATAGCATTTGCGTTTTCTGTTCTGAATTACTCCTCCTTTCTCAAACATCATTTGTTTTCACACTGAAGAGAAGAAAACAAAACAATTAGAAACTTCCTCATTCTTCCCAATAAATCCCCTAACAGCTTCAAAGAAAGTTTTTCCACAGAGGTATAAAGTTTTCAGCACATCTCACCTCAGCTTCTGGTCTGCACACTCACAATCAGAAGAACTGTAACATCAGGCCTGGAAGAAAACAAAAAGAGAGACATTTCTAAAGAACAGTTAGAAAAAAGATTTAAAAAAGAAAAAAAAAGTCAGCAGCTCCTATTAATTAATTAAACACATAGCAGACTTGCAATCTACTATGCAGTTCTGGAACACTGAAGTAATACTTAAAGGTTTTATCTTCACTACTAATAAAAGCAGGCTTTTACACTGAAATAACTCCATACAACCTAGACAAAAAACTCGGCCCCTTTGTTTCTATTCATAAGTCAGTATAAATTCTATACTGTTTTATAACATTGCTGAGCATGACCTAAATTAATATTGGGGGGCAGAGAACTCACAACCAAGATCTGAAAAAAGCAGCAGCTCTATTCATTTTTGGACATGGAAGACACTGCCTCAAACTTCACCAGAAAGCAGTAGGAATAGTCAAGAGTCTTTAGCAAACAGCAAGAAACTTTCAGAGCTCTTCCAGGAGTGTAATCATAGGTCTGATTCCCTCCTGCTAAGAAAAGCTATGACAGTTGTTCCATCAAGAAAAAAAAAAACACTGAAGAAACACAGCTGGAGATTGTAATTAAATGTTCCACTTTCAGAGACCACAGAAAGGAAGAATATAACATTATAATCTTCAGTATAGATGAGGCACACTGAAAACACTTGAGGACAAAGTAACAGGCAACCATATACAATGAAGAAGGAATGCTTATGACACTGCTAATTAAAGATGCAGATGGAAGGGAACGAGGCTGTACTTCACAGCCTTTAGTTATCTTGAACAAAGACTTTTTCTAAGTGTGGTAACAGTTTGTTCTGCTGAAGTTCTACTACCAAAGTACACTAACCAACAAGGATTTATAAACTGCTTATTACAAGGAATAACGATTTTCTGCAAGGGAAGTTTTAGTCACAAGCTAGTCGTCAATGCAGTTCTCCCATTTTGCTTTCTAGTAAGTCCTGAAGAACTTATCAACACACCGAACACATTTGCATACATACATCAGACTCAACGGCACAGCTCCACATAGCCAGCACTGGAAAGATTCAGAACTACTGTTTAGACCAGACAGGATACAGCGCTTGCCTGAGTTCTTTTACCTCACCCACAACTGATGCAAAGGTAAATAAGGTTCCTGAGACCTGCCTGCCGGCCAAGCGAAGCCGTGCTCCCGGGGCACCCAGCACGGCGGGATCCCGGGGCCGAGGTCGCCGCGCTCCGTCCGCAGCACGTTACGTAACCGCCCGGCCAGGCCGGGGCGGTACCGGGACGTTCCCTGCGCCGGGTCGCTCAGTCGCTCGCTGCGTGACAAGCAGCCCCTGCACCTGCTACAGCTTGTCCCCATCCCTATCGCAGACAGGCCCCGCACACGGCGCCCCGAGCGGGCACTGCCTCAGTCAAGGCACTCACACCAGCGGAATCGGGAGAAACAGGGCGCAGGCCACAACCCCGACAGCCAGACGTGCCCCATGCCGCTCTTCACCCCCATGGCGACCGGTAGC